GTTGTTGCTTGGGAATTTGCACATTTGGGAAGTTGTCACTAGGGACATGGTCACCCTTGGGAAAATGCCTTTGGGAATATACCATAGACCTTACCTTAGCATAAATCAGAAACAATTGAATAAAATAAACTGTAAAAAGTTTACCTTAAGATATTTATATTTAGATGCATGTCCCCAAGAAGGAGTACGGATGGCGGTAAGCTATCTAGGTTTTATTTCTACCTTTTTAAACCTTAGATGAGATAAATTTTAGACGTTATTCTCTTGATAGAGAGTTGTAGGGGTAAGAAAAGTTTAAATGTATTCTGCTTGATAACTGTTTCAGCTTATTTCAAATAATGGGTTTCCAGCAAACAAAACAATTTTGCATTTTTTCTCAAGCATTTTTGTTCGCTTTTCGCAACTTTTTCGCAATACTTTACATATTTTTTGCAATACTTCACATGTTTTTCGCAATACTTCACATATTTTTCGCGAAAATGAATTTTGTAAAATGACGCAAAGATTATGCGAAATAAAGATTTGGTAAAGCCAAAACTATCGAGAAAAATTAACTGCAAAAATTATTTGCGCAAAAGACCTTACGGGATTATCTACTCTGAGAGCTCAGCATTAGAAGTTTCATTATATATATTATAGATAATTATTTCTCTTCCTTTACTTAGATAAATGTTTTATGAAGATAATTCTATCTATCTATCTATACATTTATCTTTCTGTCCATCCATGTATCTTCACATAGATCCCGTAGTATAGATTTTATACTGTATTTTGAAGAATTTTTTTGCAGTCTTAATGGCGACTTTTTTATCTATTTTATTCTTATAATAGCACTCAGCTCGCCATTTTTGATAAATTTTTTTTGCAAAGTTCTTAGAATAGTTAGGCGCATATATTTAACACACCCCTAAGCTCTGAGAGAGAAAAAGCAAGAGTTCAACCCACCCTACGATAGATGTAATTAAATTTTAGGCAACAACTTTAATAAGAGCAATTTTTGATGTTCTGACTTGGCAAGCTTGTGGAGTGCATTGTGCTGAAGGGAATACATGCTTTTCTAATTTAGTTAATTATCTCTTTACGCAAAAATGATCAAGGATTAACCAAAAATGAGTTTTGGATAAATTTGTATCTTTCTGTAAAGAAACTTAATAGAAACTTAATAATAAGGTTAAAAAGGTTAAAGAAGGCATTGATTCAAAAGACTTTCTCTGTGAGTATTGGACTTGGGGCACTTCTGGTATGTATTTTATGCTTTTTCTCTAAATTTAATCTAAAGTAAAATATCTAAAGAAATTATAAATTAACACTTCCGGGGAGCTTAATTTATTATTAAAATAAAACCCTGCCTGGCAGTCAACAGAATGTTAACAACAGGGAGTAAGGAAAAGAAGGGAGATATAACTGACGCGGTTCGCCCCACCATATGATTATACATGCTTTGCAGACGAGTACTCCATTTGTATATGAAATGTTCAGAATAGGTTATTGTATACGCAGTAAATGTACATCAGACAAATACTTCTTATACAAATGAAGGACTCGTCTGCAAAGCATGTATAATCATATGGTAGGGCGAACCGCGTCAGTTATATTTCCCTTCTATTCCTTACTCCCTGGTTAATAATCAATCAGAAATTTCGTACAGGGTTTTAGGTTTAGAGTTAAACACCCTTCTAACAAGAATTTATATATTCTTTGATATTTCAAGGTTCTAAATGCCATCTACTCTCTGGTATGTGGGTTGTGATTAAAGACCTCACATACATTTCTGGCAGCAAGGATTGTACTAGTTAGAGAGGTAAACTTTCTTTAAAGTAAATAAAAATATTTTTATTGTTAACCCTGACAATATGCCCCCCCCCCTCCATTCCTACACTAGTGCGCTTAAAATCCAGTACTTTTCCAAATCTAGAAACAACAAAAACAAATTATGCACAGTTTGGGACAGTCAAAAACCTGGTCGTTTAAACTATTTAAACTGCAGGTTTACTTATTTGAAAAGCCTGTAAAAATGGATGTTGCATGTTATTACTTGTCAAAAGTAAAAAAAAATATTTTAAGTCATTCTTCCGAAAAACTTTTTCATTTTTTTTAAATGCCTAATGTAACCTTTGTTGAAGCTGTTGAGAATGATAACCTGTTAAAAACCTTTTGAAATTAAAAGGGAACCTTTCTAAACCAAATTAAGAATCAATTTACCCCATTTGGTTCATCAACGAGGTTATAGTGTATAGAGTGATGATGTACGCTAATCCTTTACTAATTTTATAGGCCATAATTTATACCAAGAGCGTACTGCATATTTGTTTATTATAAGTTGATTCTGGCCTAACCTATAGTATATCAATATTAGTAAACAGTTGTAAGTGTACATCATCCCCCCTGTGGTTCATAGATCAAGGTGTAACAGGGTGAAAAAGTTTGATAAACAATATTAATTAAGATTTTTGTTTTTAGATGAATATTTAGGAGATGCATATTCAGGAGATGCATATTCACTCAAACTTCCTGACAAAACATTTGACGATGAGGGATTTGCGTGTGTCTGAGACCGAATTAAATTAACTAGAAAGAGGTGGCTGAACTACCTACCGCCGGTTCAATTACTGGCTTAAATCCTAAATCAAAGTTTAAGATTTTAATCAACCCAATTAGACCCCCACAAATATCGGGTTCATCAAACAATGGCTAAAACAAAACATTGGCATTCTGTAGTTCAAAATTGAGCCAGCCATGAAAGATACATGGTTGAACCGTCTCTATATAGTTCAACGATCTCTCGAATTTCATTAAATCCGGTCTTTTGATTTGTTTTACTAGTAACCACTATGTATTATGTTGCTAAAGCAATAATGGAGCTTTGGAAAATTCCTCAAATATGCGCTTCTATGGGTTTGTGTTAAAATATTTATGCATCAATCTGAAATAAACAATGTGAGTTTTAAAATATCTACATTTATTGCATTAGTTGCATTTTTAACTACCATTATTCACAAGAAGCAAAAGCTGAACCCGAGCCAAAATAAAGATACTGAGGTTTTGCCACAAACTCTGTTTTTTAAAATCCATATATCTTTGCAACCCAGTGTCGTAGACCTTTGATATTCAAACCAGAAGCTTTTTTAGATCAAATATTCTAAATTAAAAAATCATAGGTTTACTTCATCAAGCTTACTTCATCTAAAGGGGATGTGAGGGAGGGTCCAAGGGGGATGTGAGGAGGGGGGTCCAAGGGGGATGTGAGGGAGGGTCC